TTTTTTTCTTTTTCACAACACAGCATATTTTTCGTATTATCCAATATTCTAAAATTTCACCGGCCAACGCGGCACGATGTGCGGCTATCAACTGACAACTTTTTTCGTTTATGTGCTGCCTGGGATCCGCCTAGATTGGGAAATGTGCGATTACAATAAGAAAAACATATAGCGCACACAGCAATAAGTAAGTGTGTTGTTACTTTTGATTTTTAGAATATTTCATTCATTTGTTTATATTATATATTGAAAACATAAATATGTATGTATGTAAGTATAGGATGATTCTTATACTTTTAAATTTTAAGTATACTCTCTACGGACCTCGTCCGTCCAAAGGAGAAAGAGTGTTTGGTGATTTAGAGTATAAAACCGATGAGTCAGTATTTGGCGGAATATATGTAAATCTAAGTCTGTTCCAGTGACGTAGAAACGACTCACGTGCGAATCGAAGTGTGATTGTTGAGAAAGTTCAGGTGTTTCTAACAACTATGCGTCTCATATTTTTGTTCAAAAAAATAGGAATTGTGTTGGTTATCGCTTATGATTCACTAAATCGTATTACATATAGGTAGCATAAACTTTTCAGTATCTGCTGTCACATATAACCATTTATAAACGAAACTCAAATTTTGTTTTTATGAGTGTTTTCAACTAAATAGTGATTTTAGGTTATTTTGAATTTTAGGTGATGATATGCACATAGCTTTGACAAGCGAACTACCCTTTATATAGTTTTGCATATCGTGTGTGTGTGACCAAATTTCCACATACATACGCATTTTATGACCTTGGCTATGAATTCACGCTTCTGCAAATTTCAACAATGATATTTTGTAATTGGACTACCCTTTATATGCTCAAACATAAGTACATTAACATGTATGTAGTCGTGAATAGGCACCTAAGTGTGCGTGGTTAGTATGACCATGCAAGAAACACTAGAATTATGACGCGCTGTAGTAGTCTAATTCGAACATTATATACGGAGTCTGTAGCCTTGCCTTGTTCAATAATATGTGCAAAATTTCGTAAAGATATCTTTTAAAATAAAAGAGCCTTCCATATAAAAACTGTATTTCGATCGTTCCGTTTGTATGACAGCTATACTCTACGGTATTCGACTGAACTCGTTACGCTGATCATTTAAAATATGTATATATACTTTATAGGATCTCCGACGGCTCTTTTTAAATGTAACAAAGTTTCTTCAGTGTATAAAAACAAAAATAATAATTTATTGCTTAGGACTACGGCAGATAGCAGGTTGTCCTACAGGGTTTGGCAGTCGCTCACATATTCACATAGCATTTTGAAGGTTTTAATGCTTACTTTTTGGAGCTGTACTAACTGAAATTAGTTGCCATAGAGAAATATGCTTTCGATATATAGTATAATTAATTTAAAGTAACGGTTGCCAAAAATCTTCTTCCACGTGCCACGTGTTGCGTGATACAAATTTTAATGGTGTCAATACCCGATGACTTTAGCCTGATTTTTACATATACACACATATATATGTACACATATTGCAAGTTTTGCACGTGCCACGAAATATCTATGCATGCTATTTCTATCTTTTGTCAAATTTTTAAAAACTCATATGCTTGACGTTTTGCAAGCTTTTGCTTTCCTTTGGAACGAAATCATCAGCTATTTTTATCTTTTGTCAAATTTTTAAAAACTCATATGCTTGACGTTTTGCAAGCTTTTGCTTTCCTTTGGAACGAAATCATCAGCTACTTTCAAAGATCTTTATTTTTATGCTGCATTTAATTTTCAAAGACCACCAAGTTATTCGCATACACGTACACATATACATACATTAGGGTGGGAAGGAAAAAAAATTGTTTCGCTTGAAATTAATTGATAGACAGGTCTATGAAAGGTTCTTCACGTATGAGTTTTTAATTGTAATGGAAGCTCTTTCGCCTAATACCATGTTCAGACCGACACTTAATCACGCGATTTCGGCTGTTGAGTGGTTTATCCCACTAATCTTATAAACTTATTAAGATTTCGCCATACAAAAATGACAGTTCAAAATCACTTAATCGAAATGATTTGAAACTGATCCACGCTAAATCGCTCTGTGCAATTCTGATTTTGCGTCATCTACTTGGCAGCACTGAAAATCTATCACATTATCACAGTTGATTTAGACACTACAAAGGGAAAAAATGTAAACAAACAATTTCTTTTAAAGCAATGAATCTAATTTCACCTGAAAATCGTCTTAACAAATGAAAAAATGCATCCATTATTTCTTTTATATGGAAAATATTTAAAAAAATGACGGCTTTTATTTAAGAATACTATATGAGAATCTTTTCTTTTGATAAATATTAAGCGATGTGAATTCTTAAATGACAATAACAGCTGTTTTTTGATCTTTTTAACGGCAGTGAGAACACTGTTGGGTTATGAAATGCTTAAATGTAATCTAATCTTTTAAATTTTCGGTCTGAACATGGTATAACAGTTTTCTCTCTTTCTTATTATCAGCTAGAAAGATTTGTATCTCGGTTATAATTGAAAATATTTGACCCATCCTAACATACATACATACATATGTGTTTAAAATATTTTTGACCCTCATTTGTACAATGTGCCTGAGAATTGCATTCAATATAGCTGTAAATAAAAGAAAGCGAACTTTGCTGATTGTCATCAAGCCAATTATCTTCAATAAATTTTATTGGATATGAAGTTGCGAATTATGGCTGTCTACACCATTAAAGAAGAAGAAGCAGCAGTGCAAAAATTATATACATATATACATATTTATATTTCTAATATTGTAGATACATACATTTTAAAGCCATCACACTTCTATTTGCTTAAAATGCTTATATATTCATGCCTTGCCAACTCGCATTTACGCAGCGACGAGCCCCCAAATTGTTATTGCAAGATTGTGTTTTTGTGGTTCTAATTATAACTCGAAATTTTAAAATTAAAATTAAGTCACAACAGCTGATTCATTGTTGTTTTTCACAACAATTTGAGCACTTTTTTCAATAACTTTGAAAACCAAATATGTACCAGAATACTGTGGCTTCTCGATTTTTTTGTACAATGCGATTTATAAGTAAAATAAATTTTTAGTAAACAATGTGGCGTTTTAAGCTTGGAAAATAACAAAAAATAGTGAAAGGAAAAAATAAAAAAATTCCATAACCGAAACACAATTTTCTTCAATTGAATTTGTATTTTAAGAAACAGTTATTTAATATGCAGTTGTCAAGCATTTAGACACCTATTACTTGGGAGGGTTTCAAATATTTTAGATAATTCAAAACCATTTTAACATAAAGCTCAATATATTGTTCTGTGGCATTATGTGTGCCGTCAATTACTAACATGCTCTATTAAAAGAAAGATAGACAGAAATATAAATACATAATATGTACTTTTACGTACATATTATATACATATGTATATATACACATATATATAAATATATTGGCTATCTGCCAACTCCGAAAATTTCACCTTTTCATAGTTATATAGAAACATATGACAAAATACTACTGTGGGCAAAAAATAGTAATACTTTTTAATTTAAAAATCCATTCGTATTTTTTTACTACGTTGGTATGACTGTCAGTGACATCTGTGCCAAATTACACTTCAAAATAATCATTGGTGTTTATTATACGCTTGTCTTTCTGAAATGCATAAGTGCATTCGATTTCAGAATGTTGGAAAAGGCCTTCGTTGGTAATTCTTTGTCGCGAGCAAGTGTTTTTGATCGGTAAAAATTATTCAAAGACGCACCGCGTGTATGGCCGTGGACCAGCATGTCAATAAAACAAATGAATTTATGCTTGAAAATTGACTATTAACAGCCAGAAATCTTACTGACAACATTGGAATAACGGAATAATGAGTGAAAACCACTTTGAAAGATCATTTAGGCTTAAGAAAAGTGAAAGCACTATTGTTTCCAAAATCACAAATATTTTCGAAAACACCAACGCATTACCGTCTGTAAAACAATGCTTTCCGACTAGTAGGATTTAAACGACAAACAAGTTTTAAGACCGAGCCGTACTCTTGCAGAACCTCCAGAGATGATCTAGTGACGGATGCCCAGAGCCATCTGAAATTGTGAAGGGAGTTGGTGAACCCGATTCCCCAATCAATGGCGATGGGGCAGACGTTCCATTGCCCGACTAGGAAATAGTTCGAATAGCAATTATCTGAAGAACAAGAAAGCGGCGGTTGCCAATGGATTGGCGGCCGAGCTATTCAAATACAGCGGCGATGAACTGATAAGGAGCGTGCATCAGTTTCTTTGTAGAATAAGGTCGGACGCAAAGATTGCTACTTTGGACTGAGTAGGCAATTGAGAAGTAAAATGCTCTCTAGACGAATGATGATCGAACTCTACAAGTCACTCATCATCTCCGTCCTGCTTTATAGTGCAAAGGAATCGACGACGCTACATCTGGTAAGTCGGTGTTACGAGTTTTCGAGAGAAATGTACTGCGGAAGATTTCTGCTCCTTTGCGCACTGGTAACGTCGACTACCACAGTCGATGGAACGATGAGCTGCACGAGATGTTCATCTGAAATAATGGCTGCTTCAGCTCTGACAGTATTCGACGCAGTACCCGCCGGGGGAAACAGAGGAAGAGGAAGACGTCCACTCCGTTGGAAAGACCAGATGAAGAAGGACCTGGCTAGACTTGAAATTATATTTACAAGGTATAAACCGGAAATTGCTTTAGATGTTTTTAGATGTTGATGTTTAGTTTTTAATAGTTTCATTCTGTATTTAATTTCGATGGACTACTAAATTACAAAAAATTTTATTTCATTGTTGTATGCATGAGTACATACGAGTATGTATGTATGTGCATTCAATTTTAGCTTATTGGCAATTTTGTCGTCATTCCCAAAAATTTAAGTTAAACGCTTCCCTGTTTGCCTTTTTTTGCTCACTTTTTAATTGCTCATGTGCTTTTTAGTTTTGTTACTAGATTAGGCGAGTAATCTAGTATTTGAGCGAGTAATGTATTTCATTTCCAAGCGGATGAGAGTGAAATTTTTTGCACAAACTGATCGACAACAACAACAATCGACACATAAACGTAACTACCATAAACATTGAGTTAAATACATACATAAATATATGTAAATGCATTTGTAAGGTATGCATGAGTATGTGTACAACATACCAAGTTATGCGTCCAGGCGTAATCACAACAAATACTCGCAAACAGTGTTGGAAGTGTAAACTTTTCTTTTCTTTTGGAAATGCTTAATTTTCATGGCTGAGAGCACAGCCGCTGACTTTGAAAGTCGTACGCATTAAAATTTAAGTAATTCGAAGGTACCGCCTTGGGACCAAAAACTTTTATAGTGAGTGCGTGAAATAATGATTATAATATATTACATAGACTAGCTGCAGCCTTGTTGTTGCTATTAGGAAATTGTTAGTAGCTGAATTGGCAAGCAAATCGTAAAGTTAGTAATGCAAAAATATATACACATACGAGTTCTGACGAATAATCACATCCATTCAAGTTTTAATACAAAATTATAAAGCTTTCAGGATGTCTTTATTTGTAGGCAAAGAACAAGATGCAAGACACAATTTGGCAGGAAGCATATGCTATTAAATTTTCTTACACTAAAAAGTGATCCATTTCGAGGCTCCCCACACACCAATATGGTCGCCTGAAAGCAGTGAAACGCAGACAAGGAACACTGCACTCCGGACTACAACAGAATGCCTCTTGATGTCGTCCATCGAACACCTACATAGTAAGGC